TGTTCTTTTTCAAAAGTTGTTGATAAACAAGTCCCTACGGGATCAGACTTGAATCCACGAGGACATCCACTCTGATGAGCTGGAGCTATGGTCATGTTGCTCACACATATGATAGTGTAGAGGTAGCCACCATCCGCGCTAATTCGATCAACTTTCATGCTGGTGTCGGTAAAGAAAATAGTGAAGAATCGTAAATTTGCATCATACTTTCAGCCCAAGCGAAACACCGTCTCTAACAAACTCAGTTACGACAATGCATTTCATTGACCAAAACTACCTCCCTTATTAGAATATGGAGACCATTGTGGATAAGCGAAGTGGGGAAGACTAATATTAAGGAACTCGATAGAAATCTAGGGATAAAAATCATTGTCTTGGATTACAAGAGGGATTTCGAGCTTTACTGGAAGAATAGAAATTCTTCGAACTGGATCCATATGAACCAGAGTTCAAGAAGGCCAAGCTGAGCGAAATCATTTTCTACGACTTCATCATCGTATCACGACATACTTGATGTCTACTGGTTTGAATGTATGTTGTCCACGGAGGTGATAACTAGCTCCTCTGTACCAAGCCTCTGGATGCCCACAGTATTATCTTTCAGCTTCAGTGGACATGTGTGATGATCGGGACTCCTCAATTCGGTATTAGCACTATGAAGGGTCCGGTCCACCTAAAAATGTGCTCTGGATATGTGATGTGATTGTATAAGCGAATATAAGATGTGATATCTTTCTGGGCCTCAAAGAATTGGCCCTGCATATATTGCCGCGTCTCGACTGTTCTGGATATGTCATGTGTCGTTCTGGCGACCTGGATGTACATTCTATGAGCTGGGAGAATCACCAGTCTAAAAACCCTTCTATATGAAATTCCTTCTTTTCTTCCCGCAACATGGAGAAATAAGCAAACCAACCATGAAGCTCTATCAGAAAACAACTCTGTGCTATATGAGGATATAGCGTTGATCGGTTAAATGGTAGCTGACGACTATATCATAGAACTGAACCCAAATTACTGAGGGACACAATGTTTTTAATGGTTGCCTACGTGCTGAAGAATGGATTTCTCAATCCAAGTTCAGACTCTTCTAACTTGGTGCATGTAATTCAGAACCCAGTTATGGCGTTATTTCATATACACACACCTGAAAATATGGATATTCCCAGTGTCACGCGACGAAAGTAGAAAACTGGATCATGCTCTGTACCTTGCTTTAACATTCGTAGGGCAAGTGCCGATGATGACAACGAAGTATCAGTTCTTTAAGGTAGAGTCAACTAAAGACAGCTGATGTAAATCCGTGTAAACTCTTCTTTCTTAGATGGAAACGTGACATGGACTTGACGATGGTTCGACTCGGCTCTACTATAAATGAATCTCGTAACCACATTCTCTAGAATAAACTCAGCAGAGTCCGATTGTGTGAAAATGGGATTTTTCTGCAGCAGACTCCCTCCATTGCACAAGCTAATGTCATAACTATCACATTCAGTTTTCTAAAGAAACCACCGGAAGTACGCTTAGTGACTTCACAAATGATGTAAACATAGGCGATGCAGTCACATTTCCTCGTTGTGAATGAACAACCTAGGTGAAGTAAGTACTGGATGATCCAGCAAAGGTGATGTAAAACCAGAATTTGTTCTCCATTTCCCTAATTTCTCTAATAGCAGAAGAGTAAAAGTTGGAGATGCGGGGTATCGATCCCCGTGCCTCTCGCATGCTAAGCGAGCGCTCTACCATCTGAGCTACATCCCCTTTCATGTCTAAGGATCAATTCTTTAAATATATATTTACTTTTTTAACATTTAGATAATGCAGGCAAGAAACCTTTGTCATTGCAGGCAGCGTATTTTGTTTGGGTCTCCCATATCAAGAATCCTCCCATATACTTCTTTAATACAGGTTGATGCACGGGTCGGATGAGTAGCTGATATTAACGTATCTCTGTTTTGAGTATACGCGGATGACTTCACACATTATCATCATGCCATTTAATATGCACATTTAACATGCTCAGTTCTTTGTTAAAATGGGGATATCAATCAGTTCAACCGGAGATCCCGTTGACTATTCCGTGCTTTATTTTAGCTGTACAGAAGCAAGAAACAAGACATGGCTCAGTCTGAGACGCTTGTGTCACCATCGTATGTGGGAATACAATGTCGCCTGCAAATCGTTTCGAACTAGAACAATCTCATCCTCAGGGAGCCGGATGAAGTGGAGTGTGGAGCAGTCTTAAAGATGTTGCTTCCTTTTTTGAAGTTTGTTGGATGGATTATTTACCGCCGGTCTTCAGAATCATCCACTGTTCGTCTCCGACCTCCACCTTGGCAATAGGACGGTGCTAGAGATTTATATAAATTGGCATCTACTCGTTTGCCAAGGAAATTATTTTGACTATTTGTCCTAAACCGATTGCATACTCAACTATTGGAAACCAGAGCACTCCCTTATGTACAAGCTGCATTCTTGATTATTTCTATTTTTGGTCCTTACTTGGATAAATATGGACATCGGTTTAATTTCTTATGAATAATCAAATATTTGAATAAAATAAAAAATATTTATAATATTTTATTTAGGTATTTTTATAAAGGTATTTGCTAAAGCTTGAATTTGGAAGTTGGAATTGGCTTTAAATTAAGAAAATTAGAAGCATATTATTGAGGGTGTGGACCCAGATATGAAAGTTTCCGAATGACGAGTAAGAATTTGTGATCGACCAAATTTCAAGACCTTCAAAATAATCAGAAGCTTGTAAAACTTCATGTAAATGATCAACTTTTTCAAAATTCACTATCAATGAAACTGAAGAGAACTATTTGAACTTTTAAGTGGTAACATTATCTATTTTTCTAAAATACTTCCAACCAACCTAACCACAATATTTCGTCATCATAAATATCTTTTTAGCTGCAAGGCATAAAATAAAAAGTACAAATTTATACCTACTATGAATGAATGTGGCATAAACCAAATAAAAAGTTTTTTGTTCATACTTTCTATATGCACATAAAAATTTTTCTTATTCACAGAAGTGTGAAAATGGTCCTTTTTATACATTAACAAGATTTTTTTTCATGTTATTTGTTAAAATATTTTAATCTAATCTAATTTTACCCAAAAATTACATTTTATACAACTTCTACACAAACATTATGAATAGTTGATTTTTGAAATAAAAAAATGATCTCAAGAGAACTATCAAATAAACACTCCTTTTCTGGAAAAACAAAAACACTCTTTAATCTTAAAAGGTTGAAAAAAAAAACCCTAACCTCTTGACAAAATTAATTTTTGAATTCTGTTTTTAGTAGTATTTTAGTTCTTCTTGATTTTCTTGATTTTGAGTAGAATAACAAATTTTTCAAATAATTGATTATTAGTGACGGAAATTAGGAATATAATTTTCGCTTTATAAGATTATTTTCAAATAAAATATAATCTACAGTCATCAAATTTTTTTTGTATCTGATATACATAGCTAAAATTGATTGAATACATCAAATTTCAGCAATAAAACAAAATATCGGTTGTGTTATTGTTTTAAACACCACAAAGACACCAGACATAAGACATATCATCTCCTCATTTATCAAGATATAAAAGTAATGTCACAACCTTGAATTCAAAAGCTAAACATATTTTTAATGAATATATATTGCAAAATGCATGCATTTGTATTCAAATTTGTAATCATTTTTTGCATTTGATACAAATTCATACTAACGTCCTCATTATCTTTGTTTGTTCCATAAAACTCACCAAAACTTACGATGATGGATGTATTTTTTGTTATTATACACCCTCGCGGACTTGTTGGAGGATGAGCATAGTATGGAGAGAGGAGAAGGACAAGCTTCTCCTCTCTCCATACTATGCTTGTCCTTCTCGTCTATATTGTTTCGATATGACATCCTTCTAGTCATTCATGTGTTGATGGGTTTCGTCTTTAGCTAGCTGGGAACTTTCTCCCTACGAATACTGTATTTCACAGGTACCCTTATACTAGTCGTTCACTATACGGGAGCTGAGCTTTACATTTTGACCTTCTTAGTTCTGGACTTTTTGTCATGGGAGTCATTCTTGTAGGACAAATGAAAATGTTATTTTGAATCAATATTTTATTCCAGTGTCGATAGTTGGTTCCTATTTGGTTTGGATGTGACGTATGAAAAGTCTTCGGGCTATAGATTGAGTTATATCATAGTGTATATAATGAGGTGATAGAAACCGTATATGTGGAGTTCAGATCGTCAGGCACGTGTAGACAGCGTCATATCAAGTTGGATTTGCAGATCAGTCCTGCTAGACATATTTTTATTAAAGAGAAAAGGCTTTCGTACATGTACATCAAGTTAATGACTATGGAAATTTTAGGTTTCACGGTGGTTACTTTTTCCCGTATTCTGGTCAGGTTTTTTTACCTGGCAGTTTCAATAGTGAGTTTGCTAAGTTATCCTGCATTGTTACAGAATCATTCAGGCTTTCGTACATGTACATCAAGTTAATGACTATGGCAATTTTTGGTTTCACGGTGGTTACTTTTTCCCATAATCTGGTCAGGTTTTTATACCTGGCAGTTTCCATAGTGAGCTTACTGAGTTAACGTGCATTGTTACAAAATCATTCAGGTATGAATATTTCGTTTCAGTTGACAGATAAATGATTGATAATTTGGATGTGTCTTGACTGGAATTTAATTTCATATCGGTGTTTTGGTTTTCTCCTCTGAGAATCTGGCTGTTGTTGAGATATATACGTGACGTGTTTTACAGGGAATAGTATCTCTCATTGTTTGTGCTATGTAATGCATTTCCTATGATGTAGTGTGTTTTTACAATGGAAATAATCATATTAAATTGATATACTTACAAAAGTTGTGCTTAATTTTATCTTGGCAAATTCGTGGTGTAAACATGGTTAGGAAACAGCTTTGCCCACAACGCAATGAACAATGAACTCATTTTCTCGACAGAAATATTACTCCAAATGAACACTTTGTTTCAGAAAGTTGAATGTAACTTTTGCATTCACTTTTTTGCTAGAGATGAATGTATCTTTAGTGTCAAAGGACAGTCTTCAACTCCGTTGAATTAAAGTTCCGTAACAGTGATACAAATTCATCCTGCTTCACTATTCAATTGCTATGTAAACAGAAAGTAGGCTGAAAATGCTTCGAGAGAAGGCTTCAAGTAATTAATTTCAGTGGCCTCCATGAGCTTTTATCACATAGCCCAAAAAAACGTTCACACAGCTCAGCTAATGGAAGAATGGCGAGTGACATAATATACTACTCCGCCCCTCAAAAAATCGGGGAAAAAGATCCTAAAAAATGAGTTGACGTCAAGAGGGCAGGCTAAGGGCTTCCTCTACTGCTGCGTGCTTTAAAACCAGGCAAAACTACGACATCGGTGGCTTGCACAGATCTCGGGAGTCAAATTAGTCGACTTCCTCAATCTTGGGCCCAGCACCTGACGGCATGTCATCATCTCCTCCGCTGTACGATGGAGCAGAGCCCTCCGCACCTCCGGCTCCTCCTTGATACATCCTGGCGATGATCGGGTTACAGATGCTCTCAAGTTCCTTCATCTTGTCATCGAACTCGTCGGACTCAGCCAACTGGTTGTGGTCCAACCATTGGATGGCAGCGTCGACGGCGTCCTCAATCTTCTTCTTGTCAGCAGCATCTAGATTGCTAGCGATTTTCTCATCCTTGATGGTATTGCGCATGTTGTAAGCGTAATTCTCGAGACTGTTCTTCGAGTCGATCTTCTTCTTGTGTTCCTCGTCCTCAGACTTGTACTTCTCGGCATCCTGGACCATCTTCTCGATCTCATCCTTGCTGAGCCTGCCCTTGTCGTTGGTAATGGTAATCTTGTTCTTCTGTCCTGTGGTCTTGTCCTCAGCAGAAACGTTCAGAATACCGTTGGCGTCGATGTCGAAGCAGACAGTAATTTGGGGAACACCTCGGGGTGCAGGTGGGATTCCAGAGAGCTCGAACTTTCCTAGCAAGTTGTTGTCCCTGGTCCTGGCACGCTCTCCCTCGTATACTTGGATCAACACTCCAGGCTGATTGTCGGAGTATGTTGAAAACACTTGTTCCTTCTTGGTGGGAATAGTTGTGTTCCTTGGGATGAGGACAGTCATGACACCTCCGGCAGTTTCCAAACCCAAACTCAAGGGGGTAACATCCAACAACAGGAGATCCTGCACCTTCTCGTTACCCTCACCGCTCAGGATGGCAGCCTGGACGGCGGCACCGTAGGCCACAGCCTCATCGGGGTTGATGCTCTTGCACAGCTCCTTACCGTTGAAGAAGTCCTGCAACAACTGTTGTACCTTCGGGATACGGGTGGAACCTCCAACAAGGACAACGTCGTGGATGGAGCTCTTGTCCATCTTGGCATCTCGAAGACACTTCTCAACAGGCTCCATGCACTTCCGGAACATGTCCATGTTCAACTCTTCGAACCTGGCACGAGTGATGGTAGAGTAGAAGTCGACACCCTCGTACAAGGAGTCAATCTCGATGGTGGTCTGGGCAGTTGAGGACAGAGTTCTCTTCGCCCTCTCAGCTGCGGTCCTCAGACGACGCAGAGCACGTGGGTTGCTGGAAATGTCCTTCTTGTACTTCCTCTTGAACTCCTGTACGAAATGGTTCACCATTCTGTTGTCGAAGTCTTCACCTCCCAAATGCGTGTCCCCGGCTGTGGCCTTGACCTCGAAAATACCTTCCTCGATGGTGAGCAAAGACACATCGAAAGTACCACCTCCCAAATCGAAGATAAGTACGTTCTTCTCACCAACGCTGGTAGCCTTCTTGTCGAGACCGTAGGCAATGGCAGCAGCGGTAGGCTCGTTAATGATCCTCATGACATTCAAACCGGCGATGACTCCGGCATCCTTAGTAGCTTGCCTTTGAGAATCGTTGAAGTAAGCAGGGACGGTAACGACGGCATTCTTGATGGTGTTACCAAGGAAGGCCTCGGCGATTTCCTTCATCTTGATCAAGACCATGGAAGACACTTCCTCAGCGGCGAATGTCTTCTCCTCACCCTTGTACATGACCGAGATCATGGGCTTGTCACCAGGTCCTGGTGAAACCTTGAAGGGCCAAAGCTTGATGTCGCTCTGGACGGAGGCATCGCTGAACCTCCTGCCGATAAGACGCTTCGCATCTGCACGTCGAAATAACTCATTAACACGGCGTCTCAAATGTGGATCTAAGTGACAGGACGATGCACAAACCACATTCTAAACGGAGAAATTTGTGACAAATTGAAGCTTTGAAAGATCGAGAGGGTTCCAAACTTACCGAAAACAGTGTTGGTGGGGTTCATGGCCACCTGATTCTTGGCGGCATCTCCGATAAGTCGCTCAGTGTCGGTGAATCCGACGTATGAAGGCGTGGTTCGGTTACCCTGATCATTGGCGATGATCTCAACACGATCGTGTTGCCATACACCAACACAACTGTAGGTGGTACCAAGATCGATACCGATCGCCGGCCCCTCACCCTTCCCCGACATCTTTCCAAGCGCTTCGAACGATGGACGAGTTGTTGTCAAATTGCGTTTCAATAAACTTAGTCGATCACGACGAGAGAGAACGGGAAAAACTAAAACCAAACCTGAAGAACTGCGTACGAAAGAGCTCAACAAATCGATACACAACCCCTAAAAGCACGAGAAAGTGGCAGCAGCGCCAACTGCTTAGGTCTGCGGCGCTCTCTCTCCTTTGTAGGTCTCAAGAACCCACTTACCCCGCATCCCCTGTACCCGAGCGCCTGTTCCACCCTTTCCCACCTGGTTCCCGTCTTTGTCCGCTAGATCTCTTCATCGCGCGGCATCGCCCTAAAAGCCACCCCGCTACTGGCCGTTAGATCCCGATCGGACGGTTCGAGCCCCACACGATCTGAATCTATTACCCGGCGGTTCTTTCACGTCTCCTCGCTATTATCCGCTCTCAAGGTGCTCGGCCTCTTCTGGAACGTCCTCGAACTTCGAAGATGGTCTGAGAGTTCCGGAAACCGCATGGACATTTCCGGCACCGTGGAGTCGGATCGAAGTCTGCGGCCGGGTGGGAGTTTACGGGAAGGCAACTGAAAGTCTATTTCCTTCACTGTAGGGCGGTCATACGTGACCTAGATGGTTGCGGCCGTCGATCGGCGCATCTGAAGATCTCGGGGCCGCCACGTCCTGCTTCGGTGCGCATCGGCGCCCGAAACGCAGCATAAAGTAAGGAGCAAAATGATCTGGCAGAGGGCGTCTAGGACGCAGGTTCAACCACGCGGCGGTGCCGGAACATGCTGGAAGGAAACTGCCAGATTGAGGCTTTTCGAGCTGCATAGAGGAGTGTAACTGGCGGTGGTTTGTTCGAATAACTGTTTGGCCTTTCATTGGGACAGCAGAAGTTGTGGTGGGAGCCACGCACTGTCCACCATACGAGAGAGTGGGAGCTGCCCAGTTCGTCGTGGGACCAACTGTGGTGGCTCGCCGCCTAAATTCTCGGGTCCATGACTTTCCGGTACCCCCCCACTATTCCAACTTACCGCGTACTGTCCTTAGCATTTCCCGCTACCGCGCTGCCCTATCACGACCGTAATCGACGATACCATTAGATTCAAACAAATCATATCTTATTTTCCCGCATTTGATACTGACGAAAAAAAAATCGCGTGAACCAGCGTGACGTGATACGGCGGAGAATTACCTTTCCTGCAGTCGACATGGCCCACACGTCAAGTGGCGTGTACTCACATTCGAGGAAAACAAATCAAGTACGTACCGCCGACTACTTTTATTGAAATACAGCTCCCGTCTCTCGCAATCTTTTAAATTATTTTATAAAATAAATTCTTATTTATTGTATTTTATTATTTTAAATATAACCACCCATTTTGATATACATAATGATCCAAGTAGAAACAATTCAGATAACAGCTAAATTGCCAATGATAACGCTCGAAAACAAGTCATCTTCTGAGTTTGAAAAAACCTCAGCAGCAGTTGGACGAGACTTCAAGGTATTTGATACACAAATCTTTTTTAGTTTATAAACATGTTTTTTAATTTCACATGATTGAGCAGGGTTTTTTTTTATTTTATGGATAACACATCATCTACTTGATTTGTTTTCTCCTTGGCTAAACTCTTTGTATTCTAAGTGAATGTTGGTCAATTTATATCTTATGCATTGATTGGAGATTTTTTCTTAGTTTTTGGTATTTTGATCAACAAATTCATCAACTTGAACATTCACTCTTATTAGATCTAGTTAAGCATATATCTATGAGTACTTGTTTATGCTTTTCATTCAACTACTGTACAGTTTTGAAATTTAGCTTGAGTTTGCATTGCAGTTTTTCACTCTCATTATTTGTAAAATTTCACATCAATGAGATTTTGCCTGAGCTTAATTAGCCATTCAAAATTTCACTGCTGACATGTGGGTGATCTTACATCAGAAAAGCCAATTATTCACAGTATACTATGTTCATTGTACTAGACTCAAAACATCATTGCAGATATAATGCTTGTAATTTTACCTCTGGTGCAATAACAAAATGACTGACATGGCGGCATGTGGTGCATTCGGCTATTAGTCACACTGTGAACCAAGATTTCCATTTAAATGGCTCGGCATAAGAGTAAACTAATATCTTTTCACACATCTTAGTCTAGTTTGAAATCACGAACTATTGTGATTTGAAAAAAATCTGATCTATGTTATTTGTATATGTCGGCTATGGTTATGATATATGTCAAATAATAGCGTGTATTCGTTTTTTTATTATTATTAATCTCTATTTGTCCCTGTGCGAGTAAAAGAATTTTTTTTCAATATTTATTCTAGAAGTCCATATTTTTAATTTATTATATTATATAATATTGAAAATTATGAGTTTATATTAATATAATGATACAAAAATATATAATTGTCAAACACAAAAATAACAATTGAAATCAGAAATGCAATATAAATAATTTATTAAAACGTCATAAAAAATCTTCATTGTATTTTCAAACTTTGAAAGCCTAATACATGTTTTTTTAGCGAAAAGTACAAAAATTCTGGAAAAAACCAACTTGATAAAAAAAATATAGAATTGTACATACGGCATTTGAAAGCTTTGACAACAAATTATGGTCACTATTGTAATAAACTTTCGTTATCAAACTAAAATCAAAATTTAGAAACAAATGTATTGATTTGTATGTTTTAGAGAATAAATCATTGTATAAATCAATGTTCAAATTAAAGAAAATTGAAATATCTATTTCCAGTATTTTCAGATTTAAAATAATAAAAAAATGTTTGATATCCAAATTTGTTCATATATTGACAATATTCAAATGTTTTTTCATCTATTTTAGAGATTCTTTGAACAAAAATTACAAAATTTTAGTTTGATATATCTATATCTTTAGTAAGAATTGAGCAAATGTGTTTTGTGAATAAAGTGAATGTACATTAAATATAAAGATGAAAAAATGAAATACACAAAAATTTATTTGAATAATAATAGTAATAAAAAACTGACACTTTGATTCAAACATATGAACAATGTTAACATGGCAACTGAAATATATCATAAAGTACAGCTGAGCTAACTTGGACTAGTTATATTTTGCAATATCACATTATTGACATTTCATGAACTTAATGAGAAACTATTTTTTCATTTTGTTAAAGTTTTAATTTTGCTACACACTAATTACAGTAACCAATAATTACGATAATGGAATAAAGTGGAATCAATTAAAAGACACGAAAATCTAAATAAAACAAAGAACATGTTTTTGAATAGGTACATATTGAATAAAATTTAAATGTTTATTTTATATTTATAATGCACGCTTGCATTCAAAATAATGACAACATTTTTATAGAAATGCATGATAATTTGTAGCATTGCAACGGTGTAATGTGACTCAATCTGCATGCCCTATAACTTGCAACCTGGGATATATAGTATAATTATTTGATACTACAATTTAGATTAATGCATATAAAAAATAACTCATCTTACTGAAATATCAGAAAATATGTGAAGGTTTAATACTTTACATTTAATGCTAAAATCCTATGACAAATAAATGCATATTTATTCATTATAGGGTATGAAGTTTGAACAAAGTTATTCCCGTAATGCATGTTTTATTTGTAACTTTAAAAATAACTGATTGATTCCTTCATACTGTAATGATGATCAATTGATTTAATCAACTGAAACACAAAATACATATCAAGAATTTATAAAATATCAAAATAAAATTTAACTTATTTTGAAATTATCAAAATCTGCAATGAAATATAGCAAGCAACGTATTTAATGAAATCTAGTAAGCAACGATTTTGTACTTTCATATGTTCTAATCGATTACACATGACCTTTAAATAAAAGTGCAAGTTAGTTCTATCTAATGTACAATCATTTTTTAAACCATTAATCGCATTGCTATTAGACAATGGTTATCACATTTATTATTTGATTTGGACTATGTTATAAAAGAAACACATAGAATAATCTCACAAATATTTTATATGCTTTTAAGTTGGAAAATGAATTGATTGCATTTCTAAATAATGCTTCTGATAAAAAAACACTTAAGACGGGTAATTAACTTAAATTTTGAAGTATTCAAATGATTACTTATTCCAAATATAATTTCAACGTTTTTTCTGCAAATGATTTTAAATAAAAAAAAATTATAAAATTTTATTCGGAAAAATGATTTTATCTTTGGATATTCATATATATAAGATCGAATTTCAAGTTTATTCAGATAAAATGATTTACTACATATCTAAAGACTTTCATATCAGATTTAAAAATTAATGTTTTTGAAAATCCAAGTGAAAAACATTCCAGCATAATTGTAAAAAAGTCAAAATATTTGTTAAATCGAATTAGTTTTTTCTTCATTCCATTTATAAATTTATTTCGTTTTGCACAGAAAGATTAAAAAAATGCAAACTGTGATTTTTAGAAATTCATTACGGTCAACATGCATAAATTAAATGAATTTTGAAATTACCATATAAAAATAACAAATTATATATATATTTATTTATATCTAAACTTATGTATTTATTTACTAATTTATTCAAAACCATTAACCTATTTTACTAATTATTGTAACAGAGAATCAAAAAATCAAAATGGGTACAACTACAAGAAAATGTTGATGCATTTACCTACTTGATTATATGACATATTTGTAAGATGAAAAAAATATAAAAAATAAAATTATTATATTCAGTTTTAAGTCAATCAAGATGATCACAACAATCAATCATTATCAAATCAATAAAAATAAGTCTTGAAATCATAAGAATATATTTATCCGGTTAACATCTTTTGAAGCCTAAACACAACAAAAGAAAGAATTCTTTTACTTTTAAATTTTTTTCCATTTTATTTCAAATATATTAAAATAATGGTTTCTTTTCATCATCGTGTGTGTCTTAATTTTCATGAATATAAAAAAACTGAAATTCCTCCCTTTTGATTTTGATTTTAAAAATCGTTGATTTTTCACAATTGGAAATTGTTATAGTTTTTGTTCACATGAATAAAACATGTTCAATTGAAATCATATATTTTTTTTTATGAATCGTAAATTTTATCAATTAAATCAAGAATAAAATTAAAAAAATTATGATTTTTGCAATTGATTACTTTTAGGTAAAAAAATAT